TAATGGTGAATTGGGATTATCATATTGGAGATTATTCGTTATTGCAATTCTTATACTTTTATTTCGGCGTATTCCAATTGTGTTAATTTTAATGAAGAAGATTCCCTCATTGAAAAATTACCGAGAAGGTTTTTTTTTTTTTTTTTTTTTTTTTGTTATTTTTTGAAAAAAACATAAAAAGATTTAATTTTTATTTTAGGTTTATATGCAGGTTGGTTTGGGCCAATTGGAATAGGTGCTGTCTTTTATGCAGCTATTGCCAAAGAGGATGGTACAGACAATGTTAGGAAGCTTGTCAATCCAGGTAGATGGAATTTTTTTTTTATGATAGTACATGTGAATACCTTGATATTAAAATATATATATTTTTTCTTTAGTTGTCTTTTTCATAGTTCTTATATCTGTCTTTTGTCACGGGATTTCGGTTCCGGTAATTAAAATTGGAAAAACAGTAAATAGTCTGTCAAGGACAGCTACCGGACAATCTATTTTAAATTACGTTGGAACTACTACTACCATCATCATAGGAGATGAAAAGAAAAAAGAAAAACAACAAGAAACTTCAGAAGATACAACTGTTAAAAATGAAAATAATAACGTAGATAAAATTATTATGGTTAAAGAAACTGAGAGTGATAAAACTACTGAGGTGGTCGACGATAATGTTACAATTAAAAGTGAAAATAATGTAGATGAAAGTGGAAATAATAATGTAGATGAAATTATTATAGTTAAAGAAACTACAGAGAACAAAAGTGAAGATATTAAAGATATGGGTGATAATAATTCTATTGATTCAGTGAAGGAACAAACTTTACCGGTCGCAGCTAATGTAAAATTTGTTGAGGAAGACTTATGTGAAAAACGTAAAAATGTTGAAGACGATGGAAGCCATCAAGTCTATGTTACTCCAAACCCACCATGAATTTTTAATATTTTTCTTAGCGAAATTTTTAAGTATATCGAATTAACTTTTACTCTAACGCTAAAAGTGAGATTTTTTTTTTTTAATTAAAGACACAGAATTTGTTTAAGAATTGAGTGAAATGATCTTATGGGACATAATAAGACCCAATATCGCAATAGTTTAGCTAGTATAATTTTTATAGAACTTTGTGATATTTGATATTATAATTTCTTATACTATTAATAAAAAAAAAACGTTCAATTCCTTTTGATCTGGTATTATGGTGCAAAATCTAAATATTCATCGAGGAGGTACAATTTTTTTGGATGTCTTTAGATGAAATTCACAAAAAAAAAAAAAAAAAAAAAAAAAAAAAAAAAAGCGTAGATAAAGTTCTAGATAGGGCTACAAAGTTAAGCTTTTTTTTTTTTTTTTAAGAAATTTCACAACAGAAATTTTTTTCAAAGACTAATAATCGGCATGGTTGGTTCTTTGAAATTATAACTCTGTAAATTACTTAAGTGACGCAGATTTGATGCGATTAGATGATTTGATACTGTAATCAAAAAATGACAGTAAAATTGGTTCTCGTAACCCGGCCGGGTCCTTTTTTTATAAAATTAAAAAATTTTTTTTATAGTAATATATATGATTTAAATAATCACAGGATTGAGTCACACGATTAATTAAATATTCAAGGTAGGGTCTAGGATTATGCGATGCGATGTGAAATTAATTTAAAATTATGCGATTTTTTACTATATGAGTGTCGCCAAGCACTAGTCGAAATTAAAAATTTCAATGTCGAATGGCACAATTCGAATGCTATTCAACATACCTTTCGACTTGTCATTCAATATTATTACATAATTTCACGGACATGCATGTCCGCGAAATTATGTAATGGTTCGAATGGCAAGTCGAAAGGCATGTTGAATGGCATTCAAATTGTGCCATTCACATGTTGAATTTTTTAATTTCGACTAATGAAGAGAAAGCCTGTCATCGGACTTTCAGTTATATTTTGCACCATAACAAATTAGATTGAGTTTGGTACTAAATATAATTCGTAAGCTTGGCAACAATCATATGTAATTAGTTAATTTGTTCTGTATCATTCAGAATTTTTCGACGTACTCTCAACAACTAATTACATTTCATTCCCGTGATTTATGCCAAGCACATGCGCGAAAAAATTGGTAAATTATGCGCATATTATGCTTTCGCATAATCCTAGACATCCTAGTTCAAGGTACGATCTGAGCCAAAAGGTAAAGCAAGAAATTAGAGGAATAAAGAAATGCTTTATTATTTTTACTTTATTCCGATTACACTGATCCCATACTTTTTACCTAAAATACAGGAACAAAGATTTAACATTGCAACATAGAATTTTTAAGATCATTAAAATTTGTATTTTACTTTCTATAATAGGGGTTTATATTTCATTGTGGATTATAATAGCGCTGGCTTTAAGTTGCGCACAATATTGCTACTACTTAGATTACGACTACAAGATACCTCAGATCTTATAGCATAAGGTGTAAGATTAAGAAATATAAGAGTAACTTTTATCTTGTTTCCGTGACAATTGAATTAATGTATAATACAATTATATTTTATAAAGCTTTTGCATGTGCTTTCTCAGGCTCATTTTGCGTAGATTTTCATTACATTCTTTTTAACGAATCATTATTAGAATTAGGGATGCTTCGGAAAATCCGATTAGAGTATTAAGAGTTGTTGGTTGTGAACTATTACAGCATTATTTTCACGGTATTGGAATAATATGTGTTGATTTGACATCCAGTCGAGTTACACTTAGTATCGTAAAAGGAGCTATTTATAATAATTTGTCATCTATTACATATTTCTAAAAGCGCCTCTCTGTTTATACTGAAATCCTTTTCACTGCTTGTTTTTTTCTTTCCTTAAATTTAAGACCCTTTCCTTTTCTTTTTTTAGTTTTGATTGAAATATGGCATTCAGAACAATATGGCTGTTGACCAGCAGGAGTTGATAAAAGGATTTCTGCATTGCCGCACTGAAAACAAACATCTGGGTAAAGACGAGAAGAAAAGTATGAAACTTCCATAGGTGTCGAGCAGGTAAGCTTGGCATTTACAAATACGTGCTTAAACAATATCTCTAAAGACAACTTATCATTATTCACATCTTGTTCCACAGGCGATTCATTAACATTGTCCTCTATACTATTAGTATCATCGTCACTTTCATCATTTGTAGCAATATCTATTGTTTGATTATTGTCATTGTCATCATTTGTAACAATATCCATTGTCTGATTATTGTCATTTAAAACTGACGGTGAACTGGCTTTTGTAAGATCTGAAATTCCATAGAACGTTATACCACACGTATAATCAATTGTTTCTATAAAGTTTTTGAGAAGATTTTCTTCTTCTGGGTTTAAACGATGTTGTGAATAGAGTACTCGTGGTCTGTTGCATTCAATACACTTGACCAAAACACGCACATTTGCCGCATATTGTGCCCGGGGGCTAAAACCCATGCCATTTGTACCGAGGCCGTTAATCATCATAGTAGTTGATGATGTAGATACATTGACTTTTTGACGTGAAGATGGGCGATATTTTTCACTAGTATCCTTACCATATATTTCACAAAATGGTGTATAATGATCTTCATTTGCTTTAGGTATAGGATCTGGAAAGGGTTGTAACTTCACGAATATATCAGGTTTACTTCGTGGTGGTTTGCAAATCATACAACCAGTTTCAGCTGCTTGACATTTTCTAATTTCAAAAAAATAGGTTCTGGACCGGCAACAATGATTCATGAATTCAAGAATGCGAGACTAAATATATATATGCACTTATGAGCTCACAGCAACATTAAATTTTTTTTGGCAAATCGAAATTGACCTTACCTTATTTTCAATATACTTTCTAGACGTGTCTTCAGGCACTAATAAATCATCTACTTCAAGTACAGACTCCCACAAATGTTCAATCTCTTGCTCTGTCGTTGATTCAAATGTAGAAAATTTTTCTCCTTTGAGCTCCAATCGTTCAAAAAGATCTTGCATAATAGTTTTAGTAGGCTGTAAACTTTTGATTACTCCTTCTTTAAGTCCAGGTACTCTTTTAGCCTTATTACGAATTTCATCCATCGTATTGCAGCTTTTCATTAAGCTTTCTAATTCTTCATCCATTTCACTTCTCATAAGGCCAACACACTGCAATCCAAGGTTTAAGATAGACATAATGCGTTCAACTGGGTTCTTCCATGAGTGTCCAGGTGGTGTTCGAACGGCAACCAGAAAATCAAGATCCAAAATCAAGAAAATTGCAATTAATGCAAATTGTACACAGAGAAAATTTACTCGATGATCCGGCCCACCATCAGTGTACATAAATAAATAAGGCTTGTCATCATCTTGGCTTTTCAAAATGTTATATAATTCTGTGATGTGTCGCATTGGACTTGATGGTTCGAATATGCATTCTTTTAGCCCAACATGAACTTTACCAGTATAAAATGTTTCTTCAATTGTTTTAGGTATGTTGCACAACATTGTAACACTTGGAATAATTCCACATTTTGTAAAGTCATGGTCACTAACAACAAATGTTGTGTTGTGATTAACAAGTACTCTCTTTCCACGATCTACAGCTGCGACCGGACAACCGGGCTCACCAATTTTACAGCGGTGTTTGTCATCCATAAAAACAAGATAGGCTTCATCCCGAAACATGATTGCCATTTCTTTTAAATATCTAAACAACGCTGATGCGTAATGCAAATCAACGTGTTCACACCGGAGTTGACGAGTCTGGATCATAAATTTAATGGGCAAAATGCCAGTATATTGTAAACTATTTTTATTTGTTGGTGTAGTCGGCCAAAATTGTAAGCGAAGCCATTGAGTTGATGGAATTGGCGCTTGTGGGTGAGTTTTTTTTACTTCTTTAGCTATCATATCGCGAAGATCACGAACTGAGATAGCTTGTGCGAGATGCACAATTAGATCGTGTCTTCTTTCATCAACAGCAACCACTGCTTCTTGTGCAATACCTTCTAAAAATTTTTTGCCCGCAGCCCAAAATTCATCATATTTACTTGGCCTGCCTTCATTAAGTTCTCTCAGATCACTGATTATTTTAGGATCATTTAATTCAAAGGCCAATTTAACATGCTCATCAACTTCTCTTTGATTCGTCGTTTCAGCAGCTGAAGCATCGTTTGTTAATTCTTTATATATGCGTCGCAATTTGGCCTTCGGTTGTTTGTTCAAATGAAGTTCGCATATGTCCATGTACTCTCTATGCATACGACGTGTATGATAAGTAGGAAAATCATTTTTTATTTCTGTTCTGATTTTATAGTGTTGATTAGACATTTCTTCTTCCGTTGCTTCCTCATCTATGTGCCAAATATACGTTGCATTGCAAACATTTCCATGATGATAAGTATAGATTCCAATTTTAAATGTGAATCCTACTTCTAAATTTGTTAAATACCGATGCTTTTGTCTGTATGTATTTAATGCAGTATAAAATTTTTAACTTTATTTTTTTTTTTGGTATTTTTTTAACAGCACATAAATACTATAAATACCTACACTCGTGACATTGAAGAGCAAAAATCATCAGCCAAAATTGGTTGCCAGTATTGTTTTTCTTGTAAGGCTAATGAAAGGTTTCTGTATTTTAAAGTATTCTCTGATTTACACTTGTTATTCGCTTTGAATATTTTTAGTTCGCCATTATTGTATTCATTAATTACAGGTTGATTAAGTTCTCGGTTTTGTAATGTTACTATACGTTTGTGGGCAAGATATTCGGCGTATTTAGAGAGATTTTCACTGAGCTTTATGATTGGTTCTTTGAGAAATGTTGAAAATGGTGATCTTATCATCCACGAGTGGGTAGTATATTTGAAAAGACATTCACTATATTCGTTAAGCTCTTCAATATTAAATCTAGGTCGGGTACATTTGTGATGTTGTGGATTGTTGTATCCCATGAAGTTCTCAAAGACTCTCGGTAAGTTGTATCGTTGTGTAAATGTATCACTACTACATCCATCTATGTACCATAGCGCATTGGTTAAATCCTGTATAAATGGTTTACCAATTGTTTCAGCCATATCTGGCCCTATCCAACCACCGTTTTCTTTCTTAATCCATGCTACTATATCATTTCGCAATTGTTCTTTTTTATTTGGTTTTGCACTAGGTTTCCACATAGGAAGTGTAATAGAATTTTGAGTGTTAAACATAATTTCAAAAGGATTAGTATATTGGTAACTTGATGGAGTTGCTTGTGACGTAATTAATCGAAAAACAAAATGTTTTCCATAATCTAATGCAACTTCCCACAAATTACATGTAAGATCAACATTTTGATTAGCCGTAGTTTTTGAATTTCCACATCGAGCTTCGACCTTTTCAATCAAATCTAAATAATTATTTGACACATGTTCTTCTGCTAGTTTTAAAAAAAATTGTTCAACCGTAATGTTAGTCTGCACTGGTGTTATCTTCCAGCCAAACAATACTTTTGATTCTTGAATAATTTGTACATTTATTGCTGGAATAGTTTGAAAAAATGTATTGCTAAAATTTTTTTTGAGAGTTGATGAATAGTCAACAAACTGAAGACTAAAATAAAGGTAATGATTTTGCTGCCTCGTATATAGTGCATGCGTGATTAAGATATTATAACACAAATTAATGAGCACAAGATCCAGGACACCCGCAATATATCTGTACAATTTTGGTAAATATAATTATGTTCACATAAAATAATCACAATTTGAGTAAATATAGCATCATACCACGAGAAAAAAACTAAAGAATGATTATTCATTATTCACAAATAGACGAAAACGTAGTAGTAGGTATTTATTTCAGGCTAAAATGAAATATGTTAGCGAAAATAATTATAGTCAAATTAGAAATTGAAACCATTATTGCTATAAAATTACCTGGAAAAATACTATGAAGAGTTTTAAAAAATTTATTGAGTTAAAACTAAAAGAAAGATTGCTTTGATTTTTATATTTTTGATTGCTTGAAGCTTAAGGAAAAGTAAGGTATTCCGACACACCTAAGCTCTATTGCCAATTAAAGTTTTATTTATTTCTAAAATTTATTTAAACCAATTAATTATATGCTTGGCTATCCGAAAATTAAAAAAATAGGTATTATTAATAAAAAAAAACTTGCTTATTGCAGCTTTTTTGAAAGTGATTTTTTAAGCATTATTTTATTAGTTAGGGTATTTCGGCATAAACTACATAGGGCCGAGTTCAAAATTTTACTTTAGTACTGTACAAATAATAAATTAAATAAAGCAGATTCTTAAGGGGCGTGCTGGTGTGCCAAATACATATTTGTTAATTTCTAATATTTTTTATAAACGTTGCTCAGCCAAGAGTTTTAATTAAAGTAATTTTAGCACCATTCGATTCGTCTTGTAAGACGAATTGAATGGTATTAAAATCATTTTATTCAGACCAAGATATTTCAGTACACCACATTACCTCCCGCGTCAGAATTCCCCACTTTCCCTTACAGATATGCAAAGAGGAAATTTAACCAATAATTGATTTTCTAGAACTATTGTTGTTTTGAATATATAACAAAGTTAAAACATGTTGAAACTTCATCAAGAAGCTCCCTGACCTATTTGACCCATTCTACATCTATAGCAAATGTGACAAGCAATGGAACATCGAGTATTATCAAAACACATGTTCTCCCACGTATTAAGGAGCTTCTTCTTAAATCTGGTTTCAACAAACATCTATCATATGTCAGTATGTATAAGTTATGCACTTTTACGCCTTCATACAATCTTATATGCATGTGTAGATTTTTAAATATTTATATATACATCTAGTATACTGTATATGCCGTTTCTCATATTGCAAAATAACAGGTTCAATCTGGAGAATATAAAGCCTTGATTACTTTATTAGGGGGCATTTAAAGTCTAGCATCTTATGAAATTACTCGATTTAATTAGAATCGATTAAGATTAGGGTTAGAGATAGATTTAGGATAGAGGGAGATTTATACGTATAGAGTAAAATTGCATTTCTAACACTTTTATTTAGTGCATGAATGAATAGCTGTTTTTATATTTTGCTTTGTCGTCACATATCAGATAATTTCATAAGGTGCCAGACTTAAATGACCCCTTTATCAGGAATAACTTTAACAAATACAATAAATAAGAATAAATTTTGCTAATCTTCGATTATTTATGGATTTATTCAGAGTTTTTGCATGATACACGACATAAAATTTTTAATTATAATTCTACTTTTTGTAAAATTTTATTAGTAAAAATTTATATAACATTTTTTTGTATCTATACAAAAACAGCCGGGTCCCGTATATATACTAACTTCAATATGTAACGAGAACCAACTAATTTTATTTGCATGGCCTAAAATTAAAAATTATAAAAAAATTTTAAAATTTTAAAATTATAATAAAACTTCAAAATTTTAAAAACATAAAAAAAAAAAAGAAAATTTCTAAATTTACATATGTATTTATATATAGGTATAAACAAAAAAATATTTTTTTTAACTTTAGAGTTAAAGTGAAGTCTAAGATTTTAGAAAAGTTATAGTTATATACAAAATTTAGCAAGAAATTTTTTTTATTAATATCTCAAAGATAGTTTTATAAACAAAGTTTTG